TCTTTTGGAGGAAACGCTGAAGTATACAGTAAAATTTACTTCATAGGAGCGTCTACTATAAAAAACTGTTTAAAAATATTTCTAACACAGTAAATCTTTCATCTCCTTGGGTCTCTGAAAATAAAGAATTTCTGGCAATGTAGCTGACTGAGTTGATACTGACAGACCCACTTCCTGGTACAAGTAAATATAAATGCTTCAAAAATTTAAAAAAAAATCAATCATGTAGTTGAACTTTAAAAAAGTAGAGAAAAATTGTCATTTGTCAGGAACTGAGAGGGAGCTCAAATGGCAAACACTAGCTGATGTCCTGTGGCCTGTGGGAAGGTTTGGCATCCGGTTAGATGCCCTCAGAATTGGAGGCTGTTGGTTAAAACTCAGGAAGGTACAAGAAATGGGACCTGAAATTATCACAAGGCAGGATCTAGGAAGTAAGACCCTTATATAAAATTTACATTCTTAAGAATGCTATTTGGGCAGATTGTTCTCAGGATGCCAAGACCTCTTTTGATGTCAAAAGAGAAGAATGTAAACTTAAAGTTTACATTCTGAAATCATTCTTGTGCATAAGATGGAGACAAGATAATCTTAGTCTGCCCACAGGAATTTTATGTGGTAATAGAGTCATGAACAACTAAACTATGCAATATCACCAAGCTTCCTAATTCACACTATATGCATAGTGGAGGAATCTCAAGGTGAAAAACTACTGATACCAAATAGTGCATGTCCTTGAAATAATCAGAAACAAGAGCAAAAGGAAGAGCACACAGAAAGAACCCCCCAAAAGAAAAAATATACAAAAAAGCATTAAGTGTAAGGAAAAATAAACCTCTAAGAAACCACACACAGATTGCATGGGATGCCCCACAGGGGTCAATTTCTGCATAAGATAAATGCACAAGCAAATTTTACAAAATATGTAAGAAAATAATGTATCATGAGTAGTATAGTAGACACAGGAAAAGGGACTATAACCTCAGGAATTGAGATGACTGAAGATTCTGAAGGTGACTATATATAAACGGGTTTAGAAGGTAAACAAAAAATGGAAATTGGCGGGTGAGGGGCAAGGGGAGGGAGAGCGTTAGGACAAATACCTAATGCATGTGGGGCTTAAAACCTAGATGATGGGCTGGGCACGGTGGCTCACGCCTGTAATCCCAGCACTTTGGGAGGCCGAGACGGGCAGATCACAAGATCAGAAGATCGAAACCATCCTGGCAAACATGGTGAAACCCTGTCACTACTAAAAATACAAAAATTATCTGGGCGTGGTGGTGTGTGCCTGTAGTCCCAGCCACTTGGGAGGCTGAAGCAGGAGAATTGCTTGAACCCAGGAAGTGGAGGTTGCAGTGAGCTGAGATCAGGCCACTGCACTCCAGCCTGGTGATGGAGCGAGACTCTGTCTCAAAAAAAAAAAAAAAAAAAAAACAAACCTAGAGTGTAGCTGCACTCATCAACCCATCATCTAGGTGTACATGTGGTGTATATGTGCCACATTTTCTTATTCCAGTCTGTCATTTTCTTAATCCAGTCTGTCATTGCTGGACACTTGGGTTGGTTCCAAGTCTTTGCTATTGTGAATAGTGCCGCAAGAAATGTACGTGTGCATGTGTCTTTATAGCAGCATGATTTATAATCCTTTGGGTATATACCCAGTAATGGAATGGCTGGATCAAATGGTATTTCTAGTTTTAGATCCTTGAGGAATCACTACACTGTCTTCCACGATGGTTGAACTAGTTTACAGTCCCACCAACAGTGTAAAAGTGTTCCTATTTCTCCACATCCTCTTCAGCACCTGTTGTGTCCTGACTTTTTAATGATTGCCATTCTAACTGGTGTGAGATGGTATCTCATTGTGGTTTTGATGTGCATTTCTCTGATGATGAGTGATGATGAGCATTTTTTCATGTGTCTGTTGGCTGCATAAATGTCTTCTTTTGAGAAGTGTCTGTTCATATCCTTTGCCCACTTTTTGATGGGGTTGTTTGTTTTTTTCTTGTAAATTTGTTTGAGTTCTTTGTAGGTTCTGGATATTAGCCCTTTGTCAGATGAGTAGATTGCAAAAATTTTCTTCCATTCTGTAGGTTGCCTGTTCACTCTGATGGTAGTTTCTTTTGCTGTGCAGAAGCTCTTTAGTTTAATTAGATCCCATTTGTCAGTTTTGGCTTTTGTTGCCATTGCTTTTGGTGTTTTAGACATGAAGTCCTTATCTTTGGTTTTCAACAACTTTCCTTGATGTGCCTACATGTGGTTTTTGTTTTTATTCACTCTGCTTGGGTTCAGAGACGTTCTAGAATCTGTGACTTGAGGTCATCAATTGTTTCAAATTGCCCTCCAGTATCTCTTTGTTTATTACTTCTCCATTCTCTCTTCTCTCTTTCTGGGACTCCAATTTATATGTATCTTAGACTTTTCACTATGCTCCCAGTGTGTCTTATGCTATTATCTCTATTTTAAAACTTTTATTCCCTCTGCATTCCACTGTGAATATTTTCTACTTCCATTTTGCTATTCCCCTCTTCTGTCTAATCTTCTGTTAAACTTATTTATTGAATTCTTAATTTCAGTTTTTGAGATTTTTGGTTCTAGAATTTTCACTGAGCTTTTTAAAAAGAGATTCTACTTCTTTAATAAAATTTACATTTTTAATCTATTATTTCAAATATATTAATTGTAAGTATTCTAAAGTCAGTGTTAGTACCTGTATATAGATCATCCTTGGCTCTGTTTCTATTTTCTTTTCTTCTTGATTTTACTCATTTAGTCATTTTTTTTTTTGGCATGCAGAAAAATTTAAAAATTTTGGTAATTTTTTAAATTGAATGCCAGAGATTCAGAAATTATATATGAAAAACTATAGAGGCTGGAGGTGATCTTGTCTTTCACCTGAAGGAATTTAATTTTTTTCTGAGACCCTGGTCCCTCAAATACTGTCTGCATAAGTCAACTCCCAATGCTCATAAACAATTGTTTTCTTAGTTTTGTCTAATTATTAGAGTCATTCCTTCTATCAGTTACTTTGTCACAACTGGAAGTGGAATTCTGTCCTTTAATTTTTTTTAATTATACCTTATGTTCCAGGGTACATGTGCACAACCTTCAGGCTTTTAGATAGGTGTACATGTGCCATATTGGTTTGTTGCACTTATCAACTCGTCATTAACATTCGGTATTTCTCCTAATGCTAGCCCTCCCCCAGCCTCCCACCCTCCAACAGGCCCCAGTGTGTGATATTCGCCGCCCTGTCCAAATGTTCTCATTGTTCAATTCCCACCTATGAGTGTCCTTTAATTTTTCAAGTGACCACTCTTTCCTTCGTCGGGATTTTGGACCTTTCACTCTACTAGTTGTTGTCTTGCTTCTCTGGTGATTCCTTTGCAGTCTCCTGTGGTTTCTGTTGCTTTGTTTTCAATTTACAAGTGATGGAGTGTCCCACAGCTCAGGGCATAGATGTCTTTTTCTCAGACACTTATTCCCTATGACCAGGAAGCCACATTCAGTCCTATGGCATTCAAAGTCCCATTTCATATGCTGAGACCAACTGAAGGTTCATTTAATTTTCACCTACTTTCTCTGACCCATCAGGACTTGTGTGCTGTAAGTGATGCGGAGGAATAATGCCCCTACACAGTTTAAATTATTGTTTGTTCATGTAGTAGAACCTATTGAAGTTAAAGATTCATGATTCAATACCACTGCATTATTCATTGGACCTTTAACTCCTAGAATATGTATTTAGTACAGAACTTTCTAACTGTTTCTCCTGCTTTTACTAGCTTCAATTGATGTAAAATTTATTTTCACCATTTTCCCCTAGGATGGAGTTTATAGGCCATATTCTGGGTTTACCTAAGAACCAAACTAGTCTGTTAGTTGGTTTCTTCTAAGTCCCCATATTTCTCTATGAAAATTCATTTTTGTGGAATTTATTGACCAAGACCATGTGCCCTAAGACCATGCTGTTAAATACACATCACAGAAAAGTCATTAAGGTAGGAAAAATATTAAAATTTGAGTATTTTACATTTTCTGCAATTCCCCAACTTCTCAGAAGACTGATTTTCCCTAAAGGTAATTACTTTGTTGTTAGTGGATGGAGATGAAATTAAAGCAACTGAGAGTGTAATAAATTGAATTACAGGAGAGATGGATAAACCCTAAAGAGTAGCCTCTGGTTTTACAAGAGTGGGATGAAAGACATAAGGGCAGAACAAGATGACAGGATCAGCAGGCATGGGTGGAGTAGGAAAATAGAAGAATAAAGCAAATAAGAGAGCAGTGGGGTTGTAGGGAAAGATACACTTTCAAAAATATTTAAGAAAATTTAGCTGTGGGATAGAACCCTTCTCTATATTCATTAAAAAACTTAACTAAAAATCTTTATTTTTCTTCAATACTTTTGGAAGCATCCATGTATTGCCATTGTTTATTTATTTTTTAAACTCATTACATGTTGGGATATTCTTGAAGAATAGGATTCGTTCAGTTGTGTTTTGGGTGTAATTTCTCAGGAACTAAGGACAATCATTACAAAGCAACACAAAAAGAACATTGTATTTCTATGCGACAAAGGTGGAGTTTTATTCAGAAGCAGAAAAAATAAGATACAGAAACATTGCTGTAAAAGGAAATACAGGGTGAAACAATCAGACTTTCAAATCTGAGAGTGAGACATCCTTGCCCTGAGTAACCCTGCAAGAATTTCCATGTTTGGGACAGAAGAACTTGGTATCCATAAATACAAATATAGGGTATAAAACTTGATAAATTCTATTAATTTCTTGCTGTAAATAACATCTAATTTCACACTTGGGTTAACGTGGGGAACATATATTCTAGATGTATATCCAGGACATATATCCTAGATATATGTCCAGTATATGGACACACAGTTAGTGGGAATGGCCTCTCCTGAGTTGTCTATGAGATGCACAAGGTCTGCTTCTGTGATAAGTGAGCTGAAGGGGAGGAGACAGGTTCAGGAAAGGAGCTCAGCAGCATGAGGAGGCGCAGCACAAGGGGCGGGGGCAGGTGGAGATGACACAGGTTGGGCGGTAGCAAGTGGTGTGGCAGGAGACTCGGCCACAGACTGGACGCAGGCAGCAGCAGGGGCGGCAGCAGCTGGATTCACAGCAAGAGGGACGGCAGCAGCTGGAGATGCAGCAGCTGGGGCGGCAGCAGGTGGGCTGGCAGCAGCTGGAGATGCAGCAGCTGGGGCGGCAGCAGGTGGGCTGGCAGCACACAGACTGGCAGCACTGGGGCCTGCAGCAGCTGGACACACAGCAGCTGGGACGGCAGCAAGTGGTCCTGCAGCAGGTGGTCTAGCAGCATCACCTGCAGCAGCTGGACACACAGCAGCTGGGGCGGCAGCAGCTGGAGATGCAGCAGCTGGGGCGGCAGCAGGTGGGCTGGCAGCATACAGATTGGCAGCACTGGGGCCTGCAGCAGCTGGACACACAGCAGCTGGGGCGGCAGCAGGTGGTCCTGCAGCAGGTGGTCTGGCAGCAGCTGGGGCGGCAGCAGGTCTCCAGGCCACAGCCCTGGTCAGAGCAAACGGAACCACAACAGGAGCTGACCATGGTGTCAGAGGGTGAAGGTTCTGGGTGGGTTTCCAGGAGAGTGAGTTTCGTGAGTTTGAGAATCTTCCTTGCTACATGGCCCCTTTTATACCCAGCTGAGGAGCCTTTGTGATTATGAGATTATTTCCTTGTTTTTGTTTATATGACACAAATGCAATTACTAAACCATATTATTGTGTTTTTCTAGTAAAAAATCCCGTTATATAGAAAATGATTATTTCCCTTTTCTCACCCTGGTGTTCCCACATGAGTCACCTCTTGTTTTCCTTTTCTTGGTTTCAGTGTCACATTACTTCAGTCTCTGGGTATCATGTGACATGGGAGGGCCACTGTCGCTTGTCTGTTTCTCATCTTGATATCATTTTGGGAGAGCTTCTGATTGGGCAAAGGCCTCGTAGAGAAATGCATGTGTCAATCATCTGGAATGCTGACAGGAAAAAAGAAAGTATGCTCCTGTTTTTGAGTGTGAGAAATGAGGAAGCTTATGATTCATTGTATGTATCCTGGGTGGTCATTGAGCTAACCAAATGCCTAGGTCATTGCGAGCTGTGTTAATTCTCATCACTTGGGTGCACCTTGAAACAGTTAGTAGTGACTCACTGTTTCTAAGGAACAAGGCGTCATCTGGGCTTGAGCTGTGTCTGTCTTCAAAAGTGTCCTGCAGGCTGAGGTAGAATAAAGTGGATCATAGTTTTTGATCTGCCTTTTTAAATATCAAAATGTGTAATGGTTTTGCCTTATTGACATTTTGTTAAAATCTTTTTCATACATTCTGAGCTAAAACATCTAGCAGGGTTTTTTTTAGTATCACTTATTTCTAAGATTTTTTTAGAAGCATCGAGAGGAATATAAAAGACATATTCTTTAACTTATAGATGCTTATGTAACTATGGACCTCAATTTTAGAAATCACCCACTTTCTCTTCCTTTCCTCCCCTCTCACCTCTTCGTTCCTTCCCTCTCTGCACACTCCCTTCTGATAATACTGTCTAATATCTTATCTAATTATAATCTTGCTTAAGAAATTCCAGAGGCTAATCTTGAAACAAACCAGGCACAGAGCCCTGAGGAATCCTCTTGCTTAGGGGGAATCTTGAACAATTTAGTCCACCATCATTGGGCTGAAGTCAAAATAATGCCACCAAACCTCTGGACATCCAAGATAGCCATTGGAACAAGACAGGCAGACTCAGCACCCCGCACCATCCCTGCATGTCTCCCATGCCAAGTTTCCCTTTCAAAATCCTATGGCAAATTTAAAAATGTAAGATGGCACTTTAGAACTCTAGTTCACTAGTTAAAGTATGTCAATGAGATATATCTTGGGGTGAAATGATTTTATTTCTTTCACTTAGCATTCTTCTAGTTATTCTTTACTGGTTAGTTCAAATCCCCTTTTTCTCCAATATCTTTCTTGGCCTCACACAAAGCAAGGTTATCTTCTTGGTTTACTGGCTCTCCAACTAGAACTACCTTTCCTTTCGCCAGCCCTTACCTCTTATGCATTAGCTATCCAGCAGCAAGCAGCTGAACCTGGGTCCAGTTACATTTACACAGAAATTGCATTCATAACGAGTTTAATTTATTTATTTACTTATTTTTTGACGTGGAGTTTCACTCTTGTTGCCCAGGCTGGAGTGCAATGGCACGATCTTAGCTCACTGCAACCTCCGCTTCCCAGGTTCAAGTAATTCTCCTGCCTCAGCCTCCCAAGTAGCTGGGATTACAGGCATGTGCCACCATGCCCGGGTAATTTTGTATTTTTAGTAGAGATGAGGTTTCGCCATGTTGGCCAGGCTGATTTCAAACTCCTGACCTCAGGTGATCCACCTACCTCGGCCTCCCAAAGTGCTGGGATTACAGAAGAGAGTCACCGTGCCCGGCCCATAAAGAGTTTTTAAATAAAAGCCTCACATGATTATGGTCCTAAATAAAGGGTCTTCTTTAGAGCCATGGACATTCAGGGAAAAGCAATTATTCAAGAAAAGAACAAATTACCTTCATGATATTTTCTCTTCCTGGGAATGAAGGGATGTCTATTGTGAGCTTATGTGGGGCCTGAGGAACCTGGAGATCTCTACCCTAGTGGAGTTTGTATTCTAGAAGGAATCAACAGACACATGAGAATGAGATGATAGAGTCCATGCATAAATAAGGCACAACAGAAGTGCAGTGGAAGAAGAATTTTCCTCACTGAAAAATTGCTGACTTGAGGCAGATTGATTAGCAAGAGAAAAGGCATACACATTTATCTAACGAGTATACCCAAGAGCCTTCAGAATGAAAACTCAACCCCTCAATGAGGTACAGAAGCTTATACATCCTCTTGAGGTCACAGAAAGAATGAGGGCTCAGAGCATGGCCAAAAATAGGAAACAGGTCTTAGTGGCAAGACAGGTGTATTGGTCCATTCTCATGTGCTATGAAGAAATACCCTAGACTGCGTTATTTACAAAGGAAAGAGGTTTAATTGACTCACAGTTCACCATGGCTGGGGAAGCCTCAGGAAACTTACAATCATGGCAGAAGGGGAGGCAAACACGTCCTTCGTCACATCGTGGCAGCAAGGAGAAGTGCAGAGGAGAAGGAAAATAAACCCCTTATAAGACCATTAGATCTCATGAGAACTCACTATCCCATGAAGGTAACCGACCCCATGACTAAATTGTCTCCGCCTGTGTCCTTCCCATGACATGTGGGGATTATGAGAACTACAATTCAAGATGAGATTTGGGTCGGGACACAAAGCCTAACCATATCAACAGGTTATGGGAAGGAGAAAGAAAGAGGCTTGGTTAGCAAAGGGGGTCTTGTTATGTGGATGAAATCTCACAGGTAGCAGCCCTCAGAGAAAAGAGATGGTAAATGATTTTTTTCAGAACTTTAAGGGTGTCAGAGAGTCAGTTATTCTCTTCTAGATCCAGGAAACGCCTATAATGAGAAGGCCTGGCTGCATTAATGGAGATTCTCTACAGATGCAAATTTCCTTCACAAAAGACAGCTTTGCAGGGCCACTTTAGTCTGCTGACCATGTGGCAGCCATCTTAAAATATGTCCAAAAATATATTTTGGGGTAAAATAGTTTTTATTTTCTTAATTTAGCATTCTTCTAGTTGTTTTTTACTGGTTAGTCCAAATGCCATTTTTCTCCAATATCTTTCTTGGTCTTACACAAAGCAAGGTCCTTCCTCCATTGCACATCTGTTGTGCCTTATATATGCACAGCCTCTATCATCTGATTCTCTATCAGAAATTCATTTGTCTATTGGCTCCTCCTAAAATACAAACTCCATTAGGGCATAGACTATGATCTATTCATCTTTGTATAACAGAACCTGAAATAGAATGAGGAAATGTGTATTTAATGGATGAAGATTTTGTTAAGGCTTTCAAGGGTCACACTGACCTTTGAGAATAATAAACCATTCAAATAGGTGAAGAGAAAGGGGACATAAAAGGAGCACATAATTAAGATTGGGCATGACCCTGGCTTGTGATGGTGAAAGTGATATGCTGAAAAGTCTGTTTTGAGAAGTAATGAGAGAAGTTGGGATTGACAGCATGTGGGAGAAATTGTGGGTACCCTCAAATCCTGGAAGAAATGGTGGGGAGCTATGAAAAGCCTTCAGGAAGGAATGTTAGGTGATATTGTAACCACCCAATGGGTTCATTTTGCTTGCTGCCCAGATAGAGCCAATTTATCGAGACAGGGGAATTGCAATAGAGAAAGAGTTTAATGTGCATAGAGCCAGCTAAAAAGGAGACCAGAGCTTTGTTATTATTCGCAACTGCCTCCTTGAAAATTAGGAGTCTAGGGTTTTTCAAGAATAGTTTAGTGGGCAAAGGAATGGGTGCTGCTGATTGATTGTGGAAGCAATCATAGGGCTGTGGACCATGGTCCTGGTGAGCTGAGTTTGCTTCAGGCGGCAGGGGTTGGTAGGGGCAGGACCAGTTGAGTCAAGAGTCATAGGTCCAGGTGTGGCTACTGATTGTCAGAAATGCAAAAGCATGAAAACATGTCTCAAAAGTCTAATTTTAGGCTCGACAGTAGTGATGTTATCTGCAGGAGTAATTGGGGAAGTTGCAAATCTTGCGACCTCTGTTATAGTGGCTGGTAATTGTTTATGTCTACACCTTAGTCTGCTAAGGAGAATTCAGGCTCCTCTCATCCTCCTAACCTGGTGAACTTTCATTAGTTTTACAAAGGTGGTTTAGTTTTGTGGAATGGATATTATCATTTAAATATAAACTAAATTTCTCCTCAAGTTAGCTTGGTCCAAGCCCAGGGCAATTTGGCAGTTAAAGGCAAGATAGGGGTTGGTTCAATCAGATCTCTTCCACTGTGATAATTTTCTTACTGTCATAATTTTGGCAAAAGTGCTTTCAATATATATGCTATGTACAATTTATTTTAATTTTTGATCTGCCTTTAGAAATGACAAAATGCTCCTGGATTGCTGGGAAGAGATGCTTTAAAAAATTGAAGTGAGGCTGGATGCAGTGGCTCACGCCTGTAATCCCAGCACTTTGGGAGCCCGAGGCAGGTGGATCATGAGGTCAGGAGATTGAGACCATCCTGTGTAACACAGTGAAACCCCGTCTCTACTAAAAATACAAAACAATTAGCTGGGCATGATGGTAGACACCTGCAGTCCCAGCTACTCAAGAGGTTGAAGCAGGAAAATGGCATGAACCCAGGAGGCAGAGCTTGCAGTGAGCAGAGATCATGCCACTGCACTCCAGCTGGTGGGGACAGAGTGAGACTCCATCTCAAAAAAAAAAAAAAGAAAGAAAAGAAAAAAGTTGAAGTGAGACAGAGTAAAAGTTGAACTCTCAGCATCAGGTGATGGCCTTGAGCATAATAAGGATAAATTATTCTCTTCATTATGAAATAATAAGTTTATTTATGAAATAACTAAATTATTTCTTTGAAAGAATTGGTAGAAACTTGGAACAAATTGAAAATAGAGGTATAAGAAGGGTTCTTCCTAAAAGTTATA